AAAAGACGTTCACGAAGTAGCTATCGCTGAGATATGCCTAACATATCATTGTGTTCGCCATCACCTGAGTTATAATGCTATGGATTGTAACAATAAGTTAATCAAACAATTGTTTAATGACTCAAGAGTGTGCCAACAAGTGCAGTGTGGCCGCACCAAAATCGTGGCATTGGCTAAAAATGTTTTATATCCACTTTCTCTTGAAAAGCATTTAAATACTATTAAATCTATTAAGTTTTCAATATCAAGTGATGCTTAAAATAAAGGCAATATTAAGACTTTTCCAGTTGTGATCCAATACTTTTCAACCTCTGAAGGCATAATAAATTTTGTACTGGATTTTTATGAAGACTCCAATGAAACCTCTGATAATATACATAAAAAGCTCATACAATCACTTGAAATCAATTCATTAAATCCCGCAAATATTGTGTCATATACTGGTGATAATGCGTCCGTTAATTACGGTAAACATCATTCAGTGTATGTTAATTTTAAGGCTAACAATCCATCAATTATTAAGGCTAACTGTAATTGTCATGTGTTGCACAACACCGCAAATTATGCATTAAAATTATTGCCATTGGATGTGGAAAATCTTGTGATTAAAATGTATTCACATTTTTCAATTTCGGCGAAAAGAGTGGATGCATTGAAGAGTTGCTATGAATTTGCAGATAATGAATATCAACCATTGTTAAGACATGTCTCCACTCGATGGTTGACTCTATTTCCTGCAATAAATAGACTTATTGATAACATAATACCACTGAAGGATTCTTTTATTAGTATCGGAACTAATGATTTGCCTCTAATTATTAGTGAATTAGTTTGGTGTGAAAATGTGAATGATATCACATTACCCGAGATGTACTTGTATTTTGTGTCACATTTCATGAATTTATTCTATATCAATATTCAAGTTTTAGAGAAACGCTCAACAAATTCAACAAATCTATTTGATATTATGTTTAAAATTAAATCTCAATTGGAAAATCGCTTAAATCTTGAGTTTTTTGGTTCAATTTGTAGTGAAAAACTAAAATACTTGAGTGCGAGAAAAAAGAATTTTTAAACAGTGCACAAACTGTTTATAATCGTGCAATTGATTACTTGTGTAAGAATTTTGATTTTAACAATAGCCCATTCATATTATTCAAATCACTTAATTTAGACACAACCATTGTTAAGACATGTCTCCACTCGATGGTTGACTCTATTTCCTGCAGTAAATAGACTTATTGATAATATAATACCACTGAAAGATTATTTTATTAGTGTCGGAACTAATGATTTGCCTCTAATTATTAGTGAATTAGTTTGGTGTGAAAATGTGAATGATATCACATTACCAGAGATGTACTTGTATTTTGTGTCACATTTCATGAATTTATTCTATATCAATATTCAAGTTTTAGAGAAAAGCTCAACAAATTCAACAAATCTATTTGATATTATGTTTAAAATTAAATCTCAATTGAAAAATCGTTTAAATCTTTTTGGTTCAATTTGTAGCGAAAAACTAAAATACTTTAAACTCACGCTCTTTTTTCTTAAAAATTTGTCACGTGTTTGACAAATATTAGCACGTTAACTAATGAACACATTCTTAAAACTAAAATTGTTATCGGGTAAGTATAATAAGTTTAGTGAATTAAATCTGGAGAATTTGAATTTTGAAAATCTTAAGAAAATTATTAAAATTTTAAGTTTAAAAATAAGTGAAGACAAACTATTTGAAGAAGTTTTCCATTTTAAAAATATATTAAACACATCTGAAATTCAAAGGAAAAACTTAAATAATATTGAAAAATATGTCAAAATTTTATCATCAAATGATTTCACGAGTTTGAATGCTTTAGTGGAAGCGGTTTTGTCGATTCCCGTAGGAAATGCCTTTTGTGAGAGTATTCTCACATATGAACAGAATTTGGAGGGACGACAGGAACCGAATGGACATTAATTTAGTTAAAACTGAAATCTGTATTAACAATAATTTTCATGTAAAATGCAATGAATTTAAAGAGTTTGTTAAAAACAACAAAAAACTTTTAGATTCTGTTAAATCTGATACTAAATACAAAACTATGTAAATATGATTTAATTGTCTTCTAAATAAAATTTTTGTTCTCCAAAAGTCCTCCAGAAAAATGGCTAATTTTGCTTAATGTACTCCAAACCCGAAAAAAGTCCTGGCAACGTTAGTGTGGGCACGTGTGCGGCGTTTGGAGGTTTGCTTGGTAATAAAGTTGCCGTTATTATACTGGCAATGACCCTCATGTGCTCATTATTAGCGTATATTAAGTAAATTGTGTCTAGTCCCGAAAATGTAAGTTTGTTTAGAGCAAGGTTAATTAGGGCACAATTAGGTGGACCCATTGATGAGATTACAAGTGATTTGATTAGGCAGATATGTGTCCATGGTAAGATTACAATGTAAATAATATTGTATTTTGCATCAATTTTGTTATGTTTTTTGGTATAAAATACTTTTATATGTCAATTAATAAATCTATTAATATTTTTGTATTATCAGTAATATAGATATAATATAATATGATAGCAATTTGTTTAAATTGATTTAAATTTTGTTATAAATTTAGTAGATAAGTTTATACTGTATTACAATCTAAATAGAATAATATTAAATCATAATTAATTTTATTTATTTTTCAAAATTATTATTTAAGTTATAAAACAAGCTTAATTCTTAAAATTATAAATATTATTTATCTAGATACAATAATTTTTGTAGTTATTTAGATAATTAAGAAAAATTTAATAAGTTATTTACTTTAAATTAGATTAAAAGTTTATTTATAAATATTAAAAAAATTACAATGCAAATCATAACACAAACCTAACAATAAAATACAAATATTATCTAAATTTTTAAAAAATATAAATACATATTGTAATGTTATGTTATAATGCAAATGAAGTGAAATGCAAATTAATCAAGACAATTAATCAATCAAGACATAAACTTGTAATAATTTTATGGCAACTTTTTGACAAAAATTAATTAAATTAAATTTTTTATTATGTATGTTATTATTTAAAATATCATTTAAGTTTTAATAAACACTTTAAAATTAATAAATATTTTACAATTAATAAATAAATTAAGTTTAATTGCATTTTAAAAATATTTTAAAAATAAATGGTTTTTACATTAAACATTGAAATACTAGTCGTACCACTTTGTACTGAAATGTTAAAGCATATTATGTTAGCATTGAAATAAAATATGTTGTGATGAGATAATGCATGTAATATTATTTATAATAAAATCCGTTAATTTAAATATAATTAACAAAATTATTGTATATTATAAACATCAATATAGTTATTATCAATAAATTACTCAAAAATTTATTTACATTTCAGAAACGTAAAAATTCAATTTTGAAATACAGTACACTTCACTACAATTTACTAAACTTACTTGTTAAGTATAAATATATTTATGTGGACATAGTGTTTGTTTATAATATAGTGAAATATAATTAGTGATGAATAACATTGTTTCACACAAAACACAATATTATTAAATTAAATGGAAAAGTAATTCAAACATACTGTGAGTGTCTGTCTATATGGGGACGACTCTATCAAAGATTTTAAAATCATCTTTTTGTAAATTACATTTCTAGTACAGAATTAATATTATATTATATTTTTAATAATGAATGTGACTATTTTTAAAAGATCATTTATGTTTTAACAAAAATGAATTAATAAATTAGGTTTGAATGCATTTTCAAAAATATTTTTACAAAATGTTTTTACATTAAACATTGAAATACTAGTTGTACAATTTTGTACTGAAATGTTAAAGCAAATTATGAGACATTATTTATGTTAGCATTGAAATAAAATATGTTATGATAAGATAGTGAATGTAATGTTATTTACAATAAAAACTCCGCTAATTTAATAAAAATTAAAAATTAATTATATATTTAACAAATAAATATATATAGATATCAAAAATAAAATATTCTCACAAATTAATTTACATTTTAGAAACTTAAAATCCAATTTCGAAACACACTGTACTACAATTTATTAAACTCATTTGTTAAATATAAATATATTAACGTGGACATAGTGTTTGTTTATAGTTGTATCAATATAATGAAATATAATATAAATATGTGAATAAAAACATTATTTCACACAAACTACAATTTAATTATATTAACTTAAATGCAAAAAAAGTAATTCAAAGTTTGAAATTCAAACATACGGTGTGAGTGTCTGTCTGTCTGTCTGTCAATATGGGAACGACTCTATCAAAGAGTGCTAAAAAGTGGCCAAATGTGGGATCATTTCTAACATACGATGAGATCAAAGAAGTGGTCGCATCGGGAGATCTCATTGAAATACAGCGCAAGGGTTATAAACATTGGGTGATATGCGAGTCCAATAACCAGGGTACTGTCTGGTGCTATCACGTGTCGTCCATCAACAGTAGGGCTAAGAATAAGGTTTACGTGAGATATGAACCACTCATTGATATACTGGTCAAAGAGGACGGCACTGAAGGGTGGGACGTGTGTCGAGTCAACAATCAGGAACGGGAGGCCGACAAGACTGGACTTATAGCCCGACCACTGGATCAGGTGTTTGAGGAGTTACGGACATTAGTGGACCAAAAAGTGGAGTACGACCTCAATGTAAGTAAAAATACAATTCACATTGCTAAGTTAGTAGATATTTTAAGAAAACAATTCTCATATTTATATTAATAATAACAATAATGAGCAAGTATATTTAGTATATTTATTGTTTTGGTGTGAATATAGCTAAGAAACTGTGAATATTACTGCACGCTATGGAAATATGGCATCGGGTGGTCCCAACAAGTTTATATGACCGAGCTCAAAGTAATGGCCGGCATAATGGGTGTGGGCACGTGTACCGCGGTTGGTGGTTTGCTTGGTAATAAAGTTGCCATTTTTATACCGGCAATGACCCTCATGTGCTCATTACTAGCGTATGTTAAATATATTGAGTCCAGACCCGAATATGTAAGTTTGATTAGAGCAAGGTTAATTAGGGCACAATTAGGTGGACCCATTAATGAGTTTACAAGTGATTTGATTAGACAGATATGTGTCCACGATAAGATTACAATGTAACTAAAATTGTATTATGCAATATATAATTAAATGTAATTTTCATGTTTATATTTTTTTCTATAAAATACTTATATAGAAATCTATGAATAAATATATGATAAATATATGATGTATAATATATATATATGTATATATGTATATATATGTATATATATATGTATATATATATGTATATATTGTGAGCCAATGTGGGAGTAGTCTCACCAGGCTCAATCTTGCAACGATGTAGCTTGTTAGTTTTGTAATTATATGGTTGATCAGGCACAATTATAATAAATTAAATACAATTTGCATAATAGGGTAACATCTTTATTATTAAAATAACAGTACATTTAAATACAAGTGTTGTTTATCTGTGTGTTACCCACAGAGGACTGACTGTTCATGATAGTTTACATAAGCTTTTATAGTGAACAATGTGTGCAACAATTTGGCTATAAGTGTACATTTGAGGACCAGATGTGCATATGATGTAAGCACTGGTATGCAAAATAGGTCAACTTATTGTATGTAAACAAGTCAATTAATTATAAAGGGGCCTCTCTAATGTGACATGATTATTTATGTGATTTGACAGTTTTATATGCAAAAATAGTATAATGCTTTAAAAACTGTAGCTTTATAACAGGATGTGAAATTGATTTATGTGACAGTTATTGCTTAGAAATGTTGAAAAAAACTACCAAGCACTATTAGGCTTACAATATATATATATATATGTATAATATATGATATATGAATAAACATATGATAAATCTATGAATGTTTTTGAATTATGAGTAATATAATAAATTATAAACAATTTGTTTAAATTGATTTATTTTATGTTATAAGTTTAGTAGATAAGTTTATACTATAGTATAATCTAATTAGAATATGTTTTTGTTAATATAATATGTTATAATTTTGTTTATTTTTCAAGCTTAACTATTATAATTAGTAAATTAATATTATTTTTAGATTTTAATATTAATTTTTGTATTTAATTAGATAATTATGAAAAATTTCGTAAGTTATTTACTTTAAATTAGATTATATGATTATTAATAAATATTAATCAAAATGATAGTGCAATTCATAAAACAAATCTAACAAAATAAAATACACAAAATTATTATAACTCTTGAGGCAAACATACCAGTCCATACATTATGTAACATAAGGAACGGTATGTATAATTTGATATCAAAGTATTTTATAAAACTAACAAACATTTAAGTCAACAAATATCAAACACATAGCAAAACATTAAATATTTAATGTTTATTTTGCATAAAAATCTTACACCATACATATTTTGTTGAAAATGATAATAAAATTCAATGTTTTTAAATACAGTAAAACATCTATTAATATATTGTGTAATATTTAATTAAATCAATTTAAATAGCTAAAAATTAGTTCACAAATAATTAAATATATTTTATTAACTATTGCACAATTGAAATACAATGCATATAAGTTTTTACATATTAATTTATAAGAATTACAAATATGTTAGATAAAATATGATAAACTTTTTTGAATAAAACAATTTTCAACTGGGTTTTAGTGTATTTGGTGTCTAAAGTCTGTCGAAAAGTTTAGGTCCAATGGACTGGTATTCAGTGTACGGTTAACAAGCATTTGCCACAAAACATATTACAGACAAGTCAACGACAATAGTTTACAACTTTTAAAACCAAGTAAGTTTTGATTTATAAATATATTATATTTTTAAATTGTATTTATTGTTAAATAAAACATAACCTGATGAGCAGGTACATTTCTACATTCATACATGGGTTCGAGTGAGGCTTCATTTGGCACATACGATGAGATGAAACTAGTGGTCAAAAGGGGAGATCTCATCGAAATACAGAGACCCGGGTACAAGCATTGGGTCATATGCGAGTCCAGTCACCAGGGTACTGTCTGGTGCTACCACGTGGCACCTGTTGCTAACATCTAGTATATTCTATTTTCAATGATAAAAATGAAATTAAACTATCAGTATTTTCATATAATATTTGATTATAAAGAATTCATAGGATCAAGGCAAAAACTAGTGATTAAAGTGTCTCATAATTGCAATTACTTTCGTAGCATTGAAAACCTTACCACTTAATACATGTATGAGTTTTAATTTTGATTACTGTATTTTAATTTATATATCATTATTATGAATCATGATTAATGATGCATAATAATTTTGTACACGAAATTAAATAAAAAATTAAACAGAAAGTATAAATATAAAATTACGGTACTAATAGATAGCATGGACAATCCAATCCACATACTAATTGTACCGCCAATGTTATAGTATAAGTCATTGTAATCCATAGCCAATTGTTCAGTGATTTGTGGTTCAAAGTAATGATTAGGTATTAAATTGATCTGGGTGTAATTCAGGTTAGAATTATATTCTATTACATTAATATCAATCATATTATTTACACAGAATCTCCTGCCATCGGAATAACGTTTTTTACAACTACTTTGTATTTCATGAACAATAGTTTGATTCACAGAATCCGTATAATTCTCACAGAATTTATATCCAGAATATTCTAAATGCTGTTCAATACTAATGTCATAACTGAGGCCAATGAGTGGCAAACAATTAAATGCATGATTTAACTGAAACACTAAACAATTGTGAAATGAATTTTTAAAATGAAGATAATTCTCATAAAACAAGTGGTCATCCGATGATTGTCCCCTTTCTATACATTGAAAAGAATCTCTGTTTAACTGTCGCAACGATTTCGTACTAAACATGACATTAGTTTCGCTGTATTTTGCAATCATAGCAAATAAAGGCGTTTCACTCCCCTCTATCCAAAGCATTAATGAATTAAATCGACGGCTCCTATACCTCAACACAATTCTCTCCAATCGGCGATCAATTAGTCGTGATTTAAATGTCGACATAAACTCATTGGTTATGTTTGAGAAGTAATTGTGCTGTAAGTATGGTCGTTCATTGATAGTGTTGGACAGCATGATTTTATTTGTATGATCAGGACACTTTAGTCGCCCCGCATTGGTAAACACGAAATAACATTCAACAGCTTTATAGTCATAGAGTACAGTGCGGTATAAACTCATATTATTTTCGGATAATATTTTGTAATTGAATTTTTTATAAAATTCAGATGAGCGAGATACATTTGATGAATTTTGAAAATAATCCGGATAATATTTAGCCATTTCTTTGTCACCAAGGAACAGTGGAATCAGAGTTACTTGAATCTGAGGCAAACTAATACTTGATATTACATTAATTGTAAACTTAATGTTGTTTTTGCGATAATCTTGGTAAATGTCATTAACCTGGTAAGACATTAATAAAATACTTATAATAAGCGTGGTGTGTTTAATATATTTTCCGAAAAGTATAAATTTTTTGAAATCAATTTTCCATCTCTTAATCCGTTTTAATCTCCAAATAATAAATTTAAAGGCATTTATAGTTGTGGTGACAATCGTATAGACACTGAATCCCATCCACATCCCCATCAGTCCACCCATTGATGACAAAAACACTATTAAATCCATTTTCGGGCTATAATTCCAAATCATATTTACATTTGTA